GGGATCATGGGGCTAGGTCATGGGGTGGTGATAGCTCTGGGAGATGTGGCAGGGGTGGGCAGTGCTGCCTGGGGGTTAGGTTGCATGGTGAGGGGAGGGAAGGGGGACAGGAGTATACAGCAGAGTTCACCTGGGGGGTACAGTGTGTGCTGCCCCTGTGATACTGCATGGGGCTGAGTCTTGCGTGCTCACACCAGGGAAGCCTGTGTCATGCTTCTAGCTGTTCTGTTCTCCTTGCCTCCACCAGCAGCTCCTGCTTTTGATCTTGCCCCTGCCAGGCCATGCTTCTCCAAGCAGTCAGGCAGCTTCAGCTTGGCGGCTCCTGCTCAAATGCACAGGGCTCCGGTGCTGGCTCTGTTTCCAGGGAAAGTGGCTGGGAACTGAAGCTGGAGCCCCACACGCTGGGGCAGGAGCTGCCTGGCTGAAGCTTCCCATCTACCTGGAGTGATGCGGCACGGCAGGGGCAAGATAAAGAGCAGCTTCCAGTGGGGCTGTTCCCAGTGCAGCTGCAGCTGGGTGCTGCTGTGCTTCCTACACCTCCAGCAGCAGCTCCTGCTTCTCCTCCTGTTCCTGCGCTGCACTGGTCCTGGCAGATGGGTAAGCAGCATTAGTTGGGCATCTCCTGCCCCAGTGCAGTGGGCTCTGGCTTCAGCTCTTGGCCATTTTCTGGTGAATGGTGGCTAGGAGTTTGAGCCAGAGCCCTGTGCACTGGGGCAGGAGGCTCCTGGCTCAAGCTGCTCACACGAAGTGATATAGCATGGTGTAGCAAGGATAAGATCAGGAGCAGAAGCTGCTGCTGGAGGTGGGGGGAGCAAAGCAGTTGCAGTTACTTAAGAAGCTGCATGCACTGGCTGAGGCTGGGCTGCGGGTATCAGTGGGAGCCTGGTGTGGGCTGCCTTGGTGCAAGTGGGCAGAGTGTGGCCCCACGTGGAGTGCTGCAGGGCAGCCACTGGCCAGATCCAGTCACCTGGCTGGCTGGATCCACCCTACAGTCTGTATTTTGCGCACCCCTGGCCTAAGACATACAGAACACTTGAAGTTGTATATACGTTTTTAAGCTATGCTGAACTATGAAGAGCTTATATTTTAGGATTGTTGTAGGTTAGAAGTGTCAAACTCCCCCCAAGCTCCAGGCCAGATCCAGACCACAGGAGCTTCTTCCAGGCTGGATCCCAGGGCCAGAAGCAACTGTAGTGGGTCTATGCTTGGGTGGAAGCATGGAGCCAGGGCTAGACAGCGATGTGGCAGCACGGGGCTCTAGCTGGGCAGCCACCTGGAGTGGTGGGGCATGTAGTGGCATGGGGCGTGTGTCTGGGCATCAGTGTGGAGTGCGGTGTTTGTGGTGGCACAGGGCTCTGGCTGGACAGCAGTACAGAGCATGGGTCTGGAGGCATGTAGTGGCTGGGGGCTGCTGCTGATGGTTATGTCTCTTGGGATTTAGGGACTTTGAATTCTGCAGCTGGCCATACCCCCTGACTTCTGGTAGCCCACTGGATTACCATCGGGCCTGATGGAATGGTTCTGTATCCTGGATCCAACCTGTGAGTGATATATTTGACACTCCTTTTGTAGGGAATGGAAGATGAAGTATTTTTTTGTAGTGTTCTCACAATATGCATCTTCACTAGAGGCCTTTTCTGCAGTGTTTACACGTTGTGTAATGATTCACGTTTATGTGAAGTTCGTGTAAAATGCTACCACCTGATAATGACAGTGTATTTGCCCCTGCTTAACTTGCTTTACACAAGAACAAATGACTACAAATGGTGCAAAACAGCAGTGCAGAAGCAATCCATGAGTTCCTGTCCACACCGAGCAATTTTAGTAAATGAATATATGGGTCTTGCTTTTGATTAAGCTAAGTGTATTTCTAAGTGTGATTAACGCATAATGTCTATCCTTCTACTGGTGTTTTTACATTTACATTTATTAAAAAATACATGTTATTGAGGTTGCAAAACAAGGTATTACAGAGTTAAAAAATGCAAGCATTATGTGCTAGTGCAGCTGTGATCTTGCTCCTTTGTCTAACTGTGGATGAAGTAAGAATGGAGTGTCTTAAGAAAACAGTAGGTGATCAAAGGGATCCTGGCTTTTTGTCTAAAAATCCTAAATCCTTCGATTTAAAAAAAAATCTAGCATTCTTTGATTAAACCCCCCAAATCCGTGTTTTTCCACGATTAAAATGAAATGCATCTGTCTATTTGTCTATCTATAGATATATATATGTATCAGTTTCATTGGTATATTTACAGTTTTAAAACAATTTAGAAGCCTAACAGTGCCTCAGTCATTATAATAAAATAAATTCTAAATACCTATGTATTTTGGCATTTGATTTTGGGTTTTTTTTAACCTTAGATAAATCAGAGCCCTGCCTGTCCCCTTCACTCACCAGGACAGAAGTCCAGCTGCAGCTGTCCCCACTTCCCTCCCCTCTGCCTCCTGCTGCTTTGTGGTGTTGAGCAGCCCTGATATGCTGCCCTTCCCTTGCCCATGATTTTGCCTCTCACTCCCAACCCACAGTACCCCTTGCACCTGACGCGCAGCCCCCTGACCCTGCCAGTGCCCCTCACTCCCAACCTACTGTCCTGCACCCTCTCAGCCCTACCGATAACCTTCACTCCCAACCCACACTCCGCTGCCTTCCTCCCAGTGTGCTGGTGGGGGCCCCCAGCAGCTATGGGACTAGGGCCAGGGCCTGCAAACTAGCCCCGCAGCAGTTCCCAAGCCTTGGCAGGAGGGCAGCAGGGCATAGAGCCCTGAGCCTGCAGTGGACAGCCTGCATCCTCCCCAGCCCCATGCACAAATGTGGGGGGGAATGTGCCCCACCATGCCTCCTTCCCCAGGAGTGTACAGAGCAGCAGGGAGCCAGTCCCCCTGGTGCCCCCTGGACGAGCTGCCTGTGGCTCCATTCTGCTCCCTGGCCGGGCCCTAGAGCTGTGCATTCCCACCCAGGCCCCAGGCACTGCCCCAGTGGGCAGCACCGCCAGCCGCCAACCCTGTCCTACCTGCTCCCTCACTGTAGGGGCCTCAATCTTTCCCTTCCCCCGCCTCCCTCTAGACTTACCTGCAAGCAGCTGGGAGAGCTGCTTTCCACTGATGCCTGACTGTATTGCTGGCTGTGTACATGTGTGCGCATGAACACGTGCATGTGGCACCCCTTGTGTACTCCTCCCCCCAGCCCCAAGCAGGCCCTTGCAGGCTGGAACTTGTACAGTCTCCTCCTTCAAGTCACTAGAACTTGCTGAAAAAATTAATATTGGAGGGCTTAAAAAGGCTTTGTGAGCCAGGAGATGATATTTAGATACAGATACTGTAAAATGCTTACTGTTTGTTTTATAATAACACTTAAGGGATTACTTTTGGCAGTTCCTCACATGAAGTTAATGGAAGAAAGAAAGGATGCCTTACCTTAGAATTACCTTGTAATGGTTTTATGATATTGAAATCAGTAACAGCTCTGATTTTAAGAATTTTTGGAAAATACAATTTGGATAGGAGGGTTTTGCAGGTTTGGAATAATACAGTGGGGTTTTTTGGGTCTGCTTTTTGGGTCTGCCTTCCCCCTCGCAACCCCTCACGCCTAATGGTTTGATAGCTATGAGATAGAAGGTATTAGTATGATAGTCCTTTGCACATTGGGATTTAAGTAAAATATTGGTAGCCAGTTGACATTTTTACATTGCAAGACTAGTACATAATCTGACATAATAAGCAACCACTGTTAAGTAAAACCTTGAGACTTGGATAGTAAATTATTGAAGGTTGAAGCTGAAATGTCCCATACCTATTTTAGTCTCAGAGACCATGTTTTGATTACAAGCTTGTGGTGTCTGGCAAAGGCACCCTCAGATGCATTGCTCTGCTCTGGGCAGGCTGTCTCATGAACAGAAGCAGTGTAGCCATGCTCCTAGGCTGCAAGCAGATGTTGACTTTGTGCCACCATAAAAATTGTTATGGTGACACAAAAGCCAAGTGAACAGATATCATAGCCCTTTGTTGCACCGCAAGCACCACATACATTTTGTGCTGCCAGTAAAGGTAGTAACAATTTGTGCTACCTTTTTGTGGCTAATGTCTTGTCACTTGTGATGGGAGACTGCAGCCCACAGTCTCTCACCACCCCAGGCAGAAACTGGCCTTGCTTCGAGGGGAAGGGAGAATTCCTTCTTCATTCTGTGCTTTGCAGACTTGCTCTGGGTGAATCATTCATTTGGCTTGTGTCTGCAAGCGCAGCGGTTCCCCCCACCTCTACTTGCACACTGTGGGAGGGACTCATCCCCTCCATGCAGGTCTGCAAGTATGGAGGGGGGAGCCCCTCTAAGATTTTTCCCTCCTGCTTGCACATATCCCCCAACCATCGGGTGGCAGCATGATAGGCTTGCTGGCATCTGGTGCACTTTTCTTGCTGCAGCCCTGGGGTCATGGTGCCACATGCAAGTGGAAGGGGGAACCTCTAAGGGAGTTTCCCACTCTACACTTGAATCTTGTACTGAGGGATTTCCCCCATCTCCTTGTAGACATGTGCCCCAAGTTGTGGTGGGGCACCCAGGACCCTTTTCTCCGAG